CCCCCACCCCCGGCTCATCTTTCCGTTGCCAGGGCGACCGTCAAAGGAGGTCGATAGGGTCAGGCAGGATGTGGAGAGGATTTTAGATCCTCACGCCCCTTAGGTTAGAGAGGAGGAGACACATACACAGAAACAATGTTGTCCAGGGGCAGAGAGTTCATTTAGCATTCAAGTCAGCAGCAGTTGTGATTTGGTGAAAATGTCACACAGTCAGTGGGCTTTTAGCTGAAAGGATATTATCCCGGAGCAGAGAAAGCTATCAGAGAGGCAGGTTAATTCCCCCTCACGGTGCTCTCTCTTTTCCTCCGGTTGAGGGGAGCAGATATGAGAGAGCACGGGAGAAAGGAAATGATCCCGGCTGCCCCAGGCTCTACTTTCTAATCAAAATGTTATTCCACCAACAGGAATGAAAGTAAATCCCACAGGACACTACAAAAGGCTCTTTCATTGGAATAAAAAGATGTTTTAAGAAAGCAATTTAAAGTTGGGAGGTGTATTGACACTGATTGTGTTTGTTTGACAGCCCCACAGCGGTGTTTGGTCATGAATTTTCAGCAGGTTGAAGTTAATTCTAGTTTTGTGATTATACGTTTGGCAGACCTGAAATTATTAAAATACATTTCTGTGATGTAACACCATTTTACATCAATTTATTTATCAAATTTGTTCTGCTGTGTTTGTCTTCATTGTTCAATACCCAGCTATAAAAAATGATCAATATTGTGATCTCGGTTTTTTTAAACATAATTGCAGCAATCATAACATGGCAGATACTTGATTTTTGAGTTTTAAAAGATCAGATAACAATATATAAGCAAGGGTCTCTAAACGCATTACATAATCAATCTTGATATGGATCCCTTGGAAATATGTTTCTTTTTCAATTCTAACAAAGCATGACATTATGCAAATCAACATAAATCACAATTTTTAAAGCGAATATGTAGAAATCTTCTGATTCCTGCTTTTTCAAATGTAACATTTTGCTGTTTATTTTTTCAGTCTATGATAGTAAATTGAAAATCTTTGTTTTTGTGTTTACTGCTGGTTATATCAAGACGCAATGCAAGTCTTTGAAACTGTGATATTACATTCTTCTCTCTAATAATATAAATAAATAATTGAGAACATAAAGATTAATTAAAAATGAAAGGAATCATGGCACTTGCAGCCCTTGATATGCTTTGCCATTTTTACTCTTTTCCATGCTATATATAAGACAGTTGACTCACAATATCTCCTGTACCATGAAACCATAATGACTGTGGGTAGAATATCATTAACGTTCATGATTAGTAATCGTCAAGTCTTACTCAGCTGTGCAATCGTTTTTGAAATGTCTTTGATAGTGCACTATTTCAAGATTAGAAAAGAATATCCCACGCATCAAACACTTCAGGAGTAACAAGCGTTGATTTCCAAGTGGCATTCATCTGGTGTTCACAGGAGCTGATTACAGTTTGGTGAATTCACTTGGCAACCCAGCACTCATCTTAAAATCCATCTGAATGTGTTAAACTTATTGTGGACATAAAGATATTTCCTGATGCTAAATGTTAAATGAGCCATGATTATTCATCCCGTTACCTCCTGTAGATTTTGAAAGTAGATCATCAGGGCCCAGGAGTTCAAAACTTTTAATCTCAATCAGATCCGATCAGATTTTGAAATACCGTTTTTTGTGATCCAGGATCAGACAAATCGGCCAGATTTTGTCCCTGGAGTTCAAAGCAATTCAGAATAGGATCAGCCTGATCCAGATTACGATTTTTCAAGATGACTAGATCCGGAATATCAGTGCTTTAATCCTACCGATCTCCATCTAGTGGACATGAAAAATAATACAAGGAAGACAAGAGACCACATTGCAGAGACATCTATTGTCCGCAATTACTTTTGAAAGGTGATGACAGATGGACTTTTTTTTTGTTGAAGGTATTTTTTCTTTAATCTAAATTACATTTGTGATTGACAATCTTTGTTGTGATACTTTCATGAGCATAAACATTTATGTCATCAACATTTGGTTGAAAACAAAATAGGCCACCACAAACGTGACCAAAAATGAAAAATAAAATGTATTTCCCATGAAGGCTAAAAATGGTGTATTATTTCAGTTAACAAACTTTGCCATCTTATTTATATTGAAACATATTTTTAAATAAATTGTACAGTACATTTTGCTCTGGAATCCACTGGAAATCCACCCCTCTGGTGGGATCAGGATAATCCAGTTTTTTGGAATCAAACTGATCCCAATTCTTTGTTGTCGGTTTGAACTACCCGTTTTGAAGATTTGATCCAGATTAAAGCTTGGATTGGATTTCCTGATCTGGTCGGATATCAAAGTGATCCTAATCCTGTTTTTTGGTTTTGAACTCCCCAAAATCCAAATCTGATCTGATCAGATAGGGATTAAAAGTTTTGAACTCCTGGGCCCAGGAGTTTAAGCTTAAAGGTGCATTTACAGTATATTGTTATTTTGGTACTTACATTTGTTCCCCCTTTCAATGATAGGAGTTCAACCCTGAAGAGTTTTACCATCTGCTGGAGGCAGCGGAGGACCACGCCAAGGAGGGACAGCTGATGAAGGCGGACATCCCTCGATACATCATCAACCAGTTGGGGCTGACCAGAGACCCACTGGAAGGTAAGAGAAAGAAAGAAAATATATATTGCATTTTGTTGTTCAAATAGAGGCTTGAACAGGAAATAATGTATATACACTCACTACAATGTGTACAGATTTTAATTCAGACATTGGCTGGTTCTTTGTGGAATTAATAGACTGGGAAATGAACAACTGCCCCGCATTGAATTGATACAAATTACACATAAACAAAAGAACAGTTCAACATTTTGGGAGATACATTTATCGACTGTTTTCAAAGAAAACGATGAAGATCGAATTGTTTTCTTGTCAGTGTCAGAATTTGAACATCTCTGCTTTAATAAGCTACCAATCAGCTGGTTGTTCAGCATGACCATGTATGAGATCACGCTAGGACAGGCTGGAACATTTGTGGTCTGCTGGAGCGGTGAAATTTCTTTAATTAATCATCGTGGCTCAAACTCACATTTTTAATTCTGCACAGCCGCTCTTGGTCTCATCCATCAGGAGTTGCTCATTAGCTGATGGACCCAGAATGACTCTTTACAATAAACCTCTGCAGGATTATATCTGAATTCGTGAACATTCTAAGCCTTTGTCAGATAATCTTTGCTTACAATGTGCCACTTGATATCTTCATCTTGCACCTTCTTTTACACCTACATCGTCATGCTTAGACACACATAGACACCCACGTAGCGGCTTGCACACTTTCACACTCTTTTCTTTTCTCGGCTCCTGATAGAGACTGTTGACAAGATCTTTTCAGCGTCAAAGAGAAACCAACAGAATATACGACTGTCAGAACAGTGACTTTTATGTTACATGAAGTTAGGATCTACAGAGCGACTTTGAAAATGCTTTGCAAAGTTAATTATTAGTCAATTATCTCCCTGCTTTAACAAAACAGTGCTATTATCAGTGTATTCTAGCAGCTGTCACATATTAGAGAGGAAGAACACTGACATTTAGCTGCCAGTGCTGCTCAAAGAAAGGAGAAGAAACAACGTGAGGGGGAGGTGGAGAAGAAGACAAAGAATTAATAGGAAGAAGCTTTTTTATCCCTCATGTTTTACTTTCTGTGATCTGCCGCGTTTGGTCTTTCATTTGTTTTTAAAAATCGAATAGCTGTTTTGTTTAAGATGTCTGAGCAGCTGCGTTCTTTGAATCTTCACACAGCAGTGTGGGAGGCCTGGTGTTTTAGCATGAACATTTTCATTTCACTTTGACACCAGGTTTGCTTGTTAACTCAAATGTTTTTCAACAGAAATCGTGAGCCTGGACAGCTACGACAGTGAAGGCCCACAAACTCCAGAGACCGATGAAGCAGAGGTGAAGAACAAACACACAGGAAGATTTTCACACACACTATGACTGCACCACCATTAAAACACACACACACCGCTTTCAAATCATCAAAGAAACCTTGACATTTGAGCTTTCGAACATTTAATTGAAACAGCCTTTTTGCCGATTTGAGTTATCATTTTAATATTTGTCAGCAGGGAAGAGGGCGGACCATGAAACCACCGAGTGAAGAAGATTTTCAGAGCATCAAACTGATCAGCAACGGAGCTTATGGGTAAGAAATTGATTGAAACCTCATTTGATCTAAACCATATCAAGTGCAATGAAGCTTTTATTTAATATTTTAACAAAGAAAAAACTGTTTTTAGCATCAATATGCTGTGGAAGACTGTTTAGGGGTCAGAGAGTTCCTGTCAATAGAATCCTTGGAAATAGTGTTTCCAAGGTCAACAAACAGCATTTAGGCTAAATTACATAAAGTGCTTCATGGAATACTGATAAAAAAAGATGCACCACAGTAGTGGAAACTGGAATGAATCAACACCAATACTAATAAAACAGCAACAGTGTGAGCATAAAAGTAAAACCTATTTGTATTGCTTAAACAAGCTTCTTTGGCTTGGCCCCTCACCCTGCTTTCTGTTCTCTGTACCTCATCTTGGCGCCACCAGCCCCTTCAGTTTTCACTCTCGTCTCTTGTGTCTCACCTTCTCTCCAGTGCCGTCTACCTGGTGCGCCACAGAGAGACACGTCAGCGTTTTGCAATGAAGAAGATCAACAAGCAGAATCTGATCCTGAGGAATCAGATCCAGCAGGCGTTTGTGGAGAGAGACATCCTCACCTTCGCCGAGAACCCGTTCGTCGTCTCCATGTTCTGTTCCTTCGAGTCGCGGAGACATCTGTGCATGGTCATGGAATATGTCGAGGGTAAGGGGGTCAGATCTAGTTTTGATTGCAGACTTTAATTAAACTGAGCAAGGACTCACATTTAAAAGATGTTCATGATTTATTAGACCCGTCTGTGTGGTTGACTTCCTTGTTCCGTTCGCCCTTCATTTCTCTGTGTTAGATGTCTGAGGAAATATTAGATCAGGTTTCTGTTCTTAGCATTTCATTTATTTAATTCTATATAGAGTTCACCCAAATAGCAAAGGATCATTTTGTCTGCTGGGATTCAGGAATATTAAAGCAATGTATTGAAGGTGAGACTCTTTATGACACTATCACAATGACTCTTGATAATGAAAGTCAAACAAGGTGAGTAGATTCAGGACGGTGTCGTGGCTCAGGCTGCAGCAGCTCTTATGTTATCTGTTGGCGCACAGACACACTGAGGCATGAAAAGTAGTCGTGTGTTGACACTGTCAACCGTGCTTAATGTTTTGCAAAGGTGGATAACAAGCAAAGAGAATAGAAACATAATAAATAGAATGTGTATATCTATTTATAAGCAGAAATGCATCACAAAAACACTATGTTTATGAGTTAGTCTCACATATTTTAAAGCTTTTCTGCCTTATCTAAGGATCAAATTCTGTCATCCTGCAGACTTATTGCGCTACAGTATCATCTGTGTGAATAATATGATGTTATATTATTCACACTATTTACCGAGTTCAACAGTGTTTCCCCTACCATTTGTCTTGGAGGGGCGCTGCGCCCCGCCAACGAAGCCCCACGCCCCCCCTGAAATTCAAGGTGTTTAATTCTTTTTTTTTTTAAATAATCCATTTTTTTTTTATATATATATATATATATAGCACCAAATTGCAACTAATCTATATCTACTGTCACTTTTC